GTCCACTAGATGCTGCTAAATCTGGGGTAGTCTGTACATCAGTGCCAATAGTTGTTTCTAACCGATCCGGCTCTGAACCAAAATTTGTAGTGGCCGGTGTGGATTCGCCTCTTCTGATCGGAGAAGCCATGGACATCGTAGGAGATGAAATAAATCTATTAGGGGAAGGCAAGATATTAAACATCTCATTGCCACCAGAAGGACCTACATAGTTGCGTAGATTTTCAATTTCCATTTCTTTGTCACCCCCAGGTGTCGGTATTTGTGCATCTCTAGGCTGGAGATGAGGTTCCTCTGAGCCAACTAAGTGAGGTTTCGAAGAAATAACTTCTTTCTTGTAAATGCTAACCAGGTCGGCCGATAATCCTACAAATTTCAAATTTCAATTAATTTACTCCCACACAGGAATTAATGGTTCAAGGAAAAACACAGTCAAATGGATTACCAGTTATTAAAGGCTCAAGAAAGACTCTGTCCTTTTTCAATCTCTTCTGTGACTTCCACATGTCCAAATTAGAAGAAGGACAATCCCTTTTTTTTCTTAGCAAATCACTGGAATCTTCTAGCGCCTTCTTCATAGACCTGAAATGTCACCATGCTTTATGTGAAAAACAGTAGCAGACTACAGAGGCACCCTGTGATGAAAAGGATCAACCATACTTGTTAGTCAGTACAGTTTGTTCATCATAAAAATCCCTGCTCCTTTTTTTTCTCTGCTTTGCTCTTGGCTGCTCAACTGGAGGTGTTGATCGAATTGCTAGTCCAGGTGATGCATGCCCTGTAAAACAAGAAAGTGCATAAATTGACTGAATTGAACATTAGGTCCTATTCCGTAAATAAAATATGTTATCCAAAGACTGCACTCACCGAAGGGAATGTCTAGATTAAAATTTTCATGGGCCTGCTCTGAAGCAACACATTGAGGTTCTTCAGCTTGAGGTAATGGCATAGTAGGACCTCCAGAAACCAATATTTCCTCCACCACTGGACTGCTGGCTTCAGTAAGTTTCATGATCTGCTCCTCCAGCACTCTGTCAAGTTCCACATCATAGCCTTGATCTGGCCATACAGGAGCATCTTCCATTCGAAAGTCATGTACAGCATCACGCATGACTTCAATATCTGGGAGCTCCTGAGTGGTACTATCTCTTCCAGGTTTTTCATTCAATCCTCCCTGATTGCTGGGAGAAGGATCTCCAATCACTACTGTAATGTCCTCTGGAACCGAAGGACGAGAACTGCAACAACAAAAGAAATTGATATCAACTTACCAACAAAAATTACCATCATCCACATCAATGAGCTATTAAGTCCCTACTCTTCCTCCACGGGCTTGAGCCCAGACACTGTAGTCTCTTCCAAATCTGGAGAACCCCTCCCCACATCCTACAGAAAGACAGTTACTCTGCTTAGTGATAACATGATGCATAACTACACAGAAAAAATTTATTATCAAACCATAAAAAAGATAGTAATAATGTGAACCTCAGTGAATCTAGTGGGTTCATGTGGATCTCTTCCTGTTGGCTCTTGGTCTGCAAATGAAACAAATTATAAAGCTACATGTCCACATTAAAAAAGGAATAAAAATTGTAACTTGATATAGATGTATGAGCAAACACCTTCAAGTGTGATTTCCTCTCGTCTTCCACGATGATCATCCTCAGACCTGATGTGAAAATCGTGAGTAATCAATAGATACAGGATAAAAAAGGACACAACTAATAGACTTCCACAAGAGATTTACCTCTCCAGATCAGAATAATCTTCCAGGTCAATTTTATCAAGTGCAAGTGTTTCAGGCAGAGTGATAGAGTGATATGGTGCTTGAGTTGCACCCTCTGGCAGATTGATATTTGTATTTACAGAAGAAAATGCCTTGAGTATTTCCACCAATGCGACATTGCAATCTTGATAAAAATAGTCAACTTGCTTGGAATAAATACGGACAACACCTAGTAGAAGATGGCCTGACATCCTTAGAGCAATAGGAACCTGAGGAACCAGAATCAGGTCTGGAAAATGAAGTCAAAGAAAATAGCATCACTCCTCTAGACGAACACACTGTAAAGCATCACATGCTGTTACAATCTTTTTTCTATCAACGCACAAGCAATACGCTTTATCAATAAAGAATTTCAGAAAGAAAATCCAATCTTATTGATAATTGAAAAATCTGCATGCAGTAAAATGTGTTGAAGATCAGATTAGCATACCATACTTCATGCAACCAATTGATAGAACCACATGCATAGAGTATCATCTGTGACCAATTTGGACAATATTCCCTAATCATTGTGGAAAAGAAACCGACACTATTTTGCTCTGTGAAAGCTTGGGCACGACTCAGGCAAACGATATAATGACATGCCCTCACATTTACAAATGAGGAATGCACAAGCACAACAAAAGTGACTGACAACTACAAAAAATAGTTAAAAATGAAGTATTCTTCCATCAAGCAGTTGGTATTTGAATGAGATTCTCCTATGCATTAATTAAGTAGCGCCACACACTAAGAAGCTTGAACTGAATTTCAATAGCCAATCACCAGTAGCAATTAGCAGTAGGCAAACTAGCGACAAGCTGTAGTGCAATCTCTCTTGTACAAACTAGATAATCCCACAAGTGTCAACCAGTACTACCAAAAAAAACTACAAAATACAAGTAGGCCAGGAAAAAGAAAGGTACTTTTAAACCAAGAATAAACAAACCAACTGCAATCTATCAATATACCAATTACCCCCCATACCCACAAGCTTTGTAATTTAGATTTCTAAAAGCCAAAAAAAATAATAAACCCAATCAAAAACATCAAAAAAGAGTAATCTTTCAGTTGATAATCAGTTAATCATGCATTACCAATATTAGCAAAGTAAAAAAGTTCCTAATCTGAAAAAACAAAAATCTAGTCTTTTCTCAATATTCAAACAAAGGAAACCCAATCAAAGAAAAAGAGATGGATCTTTGCATCAATGAGAAAGATTAAAAAAGAAATCAGGGAAGGAAAAAAACCGACCAACTGTATCTTTGATGCTAGTGGAGGTGTAGTGAGATTTCTTGAGCTTGTGCTGTAAATGTGCTGCGCACCAAACAGTCCCTAAGGGCCCTTTTCTTGCCAGAAATGATTGTGAATAAAACATCTTTCTCCGTCTTCTTCTTCTTCCTTATTCCTTCCTCTTCTGCTGCAAAAAATTGCTGCTTTTTACTTAATAAATAGATTTAAAAAAAAGTTGTAGAATACTTAGGAATTATGGTAAGTACAAGTGATTTGGCGGAAGTTAAACTTTTTTTCTCATTGTTTTTTTTTTTTTTTGCTTCGGAAAAATTGAGGAGACAGTTTGGGAATTTTGATTAGGGTTTTAACGTTGGAAGGGGCGGGAAGGAGGAAATGGCGCGAAGTGCTTCACAACTATTTGACTTTTTCGAGGTGTGGGCATGATAATGAGACGCAGAGTTTACATATAATTACGTATCTGCCACTTATTAAATCTCCATTTTACTCGAAGCTTGTTTAGCACGACGTCCAAAGGACAGGTCTGAGAAACGACGCCGCAGAGGCGAGTTGGAAATCCGGCGAATGTGCCCAGATTACTATAGAAAAAATTAGAAAGTGGGAAACCTCTCTTGCTTTCCTATTTTTAAATGAAAAAAACAATTGTGATTTGATTAGGTGGTGGAATAAGAAAGAAGGATATGTAACCATTATATATTAGTTGTAAACTTGTAGAAAATTTTTTAACCTTTGATTTGAGATAGATATTTAATGTCCTAAATAATTTACTTAAAACTCCGGTGAGATACTAGATTGATTTGATTATTGATTGTAAATCGCTTTTAGGTAAATAATAATAATAATAATAAAAGATACATAATAGTTCGGCAGTTCAATTTTATTCTTTTGTTGAAGGGTGCTTAATTTGTTTATGATATTTTTAGTGATTTTTTTGGATAAAATACCACAAAACTTCCTGTTGTTTGACAAATGTTTAATTTAACTCTCTCTGATTTAGAAATCTACACTATAATTTCCCATAATTTCGATCAAATTAAAAATTGGATAGAAAGCATCCAATCTAACGATTGTATATGAAATGTCAAATATTGCCCCTACTATATGTGAGATGCTTTCAATTCAATTTCAATTTAGTCGAAACTGCATAGAGTTATAGTGTAACTTTTCAAATTAGATCGAGTTAAATTAAACTTTTAACAAACCATAAGGAGTTCATTTATATAGGGGCAATATTGACATTTCACATATAACCTTTAGGTCGGATGATTTCCGTCCGATTTTTAATTTAGTTAAAATCACAGGGAGCTATACTGTAGATTTCAAATCAGATGGAGTTAAATTGAACATTTAGCAAATCACAAGAAGTTTTTTGGTATTTTCCTTTTTCTTTTTCGTCAAATGTATTTTCAATGATATTGGAATGGTTGGATTATCAATTTCAAATAGCCTCTAAGTAAAAATACACACAAGCCCATATATACATACATACATACATATATATATATATAATTTTCCTTTGCGCCTTGCTGATGAGACCCATACAGTATTAGGAAACAGCTAAGGTTGAGGCCCTTAAGAGTGAGATTCTGAACTCAACTCTTCCTATTGAGGATGACAGTAGTCTAATTTATATTTAGTCTGACTTCAATCTACAAAAAAGGCCATGCTCAATGAATGACTCATTCTCGTTTAGGTTATAGTAAAAGCAGCTTATTTTGAGTTTAGCAACACCAGTGCTTTGCAGTCTACTGAGGACTGGGGGATACGAGAGAAGTATATCATGCCACATAAGTCACAAGCAACCTGGTAAGAGAGATGATTTAGTGCACCGAATTGGCAATACAACTGCATGAAGAATATTTGTGCCAATGAGACATGTTTCCTTTCTGAATTAAGGGCCATTCACAAGTTCCTGTAAACGATTTTGTCACCAGTCCATTTTGCAAAAGTAGTCTCCTGAGTGCCAACACAGCAGGTGATACTATTTAACTCAGGCCTTGGTTTTCTCTTCACCAAGTCGTCCAAGCCAGGAAATATTCAGGCACTAGCCACAGCACAGAAGCCTTCGAGAAATTTTCTGTTTCTCTTTACCTCAGACCCCACTCAATGAGGATTTTAAATTTCACATACACATCAACATGTGACAGAATAAAACGTTATGAATTACCACCACAACAAAATATGGTGGAAAACCCAGTAGCTAAACCTACATCTAAAGCCAATGGGGCATGTAAAATAAATCTATAAGGTCTCAAATATATATAGCACTGTTTTTACACAGTTAACTCCAGCCTTGGTTTTGTTCCACAAAGAACGTTCTGGTTCTCCATTGCTTTAGTTAGAGAACAAAAATGCACTGCACAGGTTTCCGCACCCTATCTAAGCTTTATTTACACGAATCCTCTGTCCCTCGAGAATCTGCAACAAATAAGTGAGGGAAGTGAGACTTTCACACAACCATGGATGAGAGTTCAACAGAACAAAGAGACAAACTTCTGTCTGAAAAGGCTGAAGAAATTTAAGAAGTCAGTGCATTTGGACTGATGGCTAGTTTTATTTTCTTACTGTCTTCTACTTCTAGGCATCAAGTCATCCACGAATTAAGTCAAAAGCTTCACGTGGTCTTATAAACATGAAATCTGTTATACTAGATCATGTCTGTGTTAAATAAAAGGCGAGCCAAATGATGCAAAGAGAAGGAATATGCATGAAGATAAACATGACGTTTCTGGAAATTGCTTATGTGCTGCAGTGTTGCTTAAAGAATCACCTTAATTAGTTAGTAAAATGGGATATCCATACTTTTTATAAGAACATAAGAGGTATGGCATGGCTGTAACACAAAATTCCAGTGCTATCAAAACATTTCTGATTCACTAACGGAAAGACAAGGGAGTGGGCTAGTTCAGTTCAATAGCACTGTACCAACGACACCACAGGTGAAATAATAATGTAATTGATACTTTACGGAGGACATTAACAAAAATCTAATGATTGAACCGGATGAAAGTGCAATATCATTTCAGATTAGTACATTACATCAAGGAATAGTTCTACTTATTAGGGTGAAAAGGTGGAATTCTGCCCATATATAAAGATCCATATACTCTTGACTAAGGCAAATAGTTTACCTCATTATTCAGAGATGAAATGGCAGCTTCTACTTCCTCTTCTGAAGAGAATGTAACAAATCCATAACCACTGGACTTAGAAGTCCCAGGAACCCGTGATACTTTAGCACTAAGTACCTTACCCTTCTCAGCAAATAAGTTTTTTAATTTATCTGTGGTTACATCCTTTGCAAGATTACCCACATAAACTTTGTGTGGACTGTCAATGAACTGGGATTCTTCGGCTTTAAGAAGTGACGAATCCAAAGTTTGCAATGGCTTTTCAGTAATATTTACTTTGATTTTACGCCCACCAATTTCCTGCAGAGTAAAGAAGATCAAATAAGTAAAATCTAATCAATAGAACGTTCATAGGAATTAACACGCTTGGAATTTTGGAACTCCAAAAACTTATTGTACTTGCATAAATAACATCTAAAAGCAAATCTTACTGTTTCATTGAGCTTTACAATAGCTGCATTTGCATCCTCAACAGTCTTCATTGTCACAAATGCAAATCGCCGGCTCCTTCCAGACCACTTGTCATACATCACCTGTCAATACGGGGAAAGTATGGAATTAATTCGGTAGCTTCTTATCAAACTCTATTGCCCCTAAAAACATGTGACTGCAAATTCTCCAACTTTCTTGTTGACCTTACGGATAATCAATCTCACAAGTCTTGATGTGTAGGCTTCCTGGTGGGCATCTTAGGCTAATATAGATCTCAATACATTCTGAAGAGTTTTAAGGAGAGAAACCAAAAACTCAAACAAGACATATGGGAAAGTAGCACTACTACAACATATTATTATTGCAGGATGCTTTTAAACGTGTAAAATCTCTTGCTGCGATCAACGATCTTGGACAATTTGCCATAGATATAGAATAGCACTAATTCAATGTCAATTTTGTTTTAGTCCTGAAATCTTGTGGGATAGTCTGGGTCCTAAATTCCTCGTTCTTCTTGGCCTTGAAATTAATAAAGTGCCAAGAATATCTAGATCATCAGATAATGTATATGATCAGAATCGAAAAGATTCTGTATAGTTCGGGAACCATGCGCACAGTATAAGGGTTGAGGAAATATAGGACATTTCAACTAGCTATCATGGAGCAGTAAGTTAGGGCAGGTTTTATAGTTCAAAATCCTGTGAAAGGATTGATTTGAAGGAGAAGAAAAGGCACAACTAAGTTTCGGTATTGATTCACTAAGCAAAAGCCAATTTAATGCAGTTCAGTGCCATGCTTGAAGCAAACAGAAATATCAATTTCCACAAGACAATATATTTATCTAATTATGAATAAAATTAACAATAATGGAGGAAATAAAACCAATCAACTAACCAAGTAGTAGTATAACAACTTCCTTGGCTACAACAAATTTCTCTCTTTCAGCCCAGAACTAAACCTACAATACAACAAAAGTAAACCACGAACACCTCAAATTTCACCGTTATTGAACCAGCAAAAAACCCATAATTTGCTATCTTAGTTCATATAAGACCCATTTCTTCCATCATCCCGGAATTAAAGCTAAATTTTCCAACACAACCAACTACAAATAAACACCTTAAATCCCGACAAAACATAATTCAACCACGATGAAAATTGATCTTTAAATTCTTGAATCACTGAAGTACCTCGGCCTTCTCAACAGCACCATGTTCTTCAACAATCCTTTTAAGCTCGTCGTTGGTGACAGTCCGAGGAATATTCCCAACATAAAGCCTTCTTGCAGCCTCAGAAGAAGGGTCTGCAGCTGTGGCAACTGAGGCTGTTTCACTTTCTTCTTCAGCAACAGCATTTAGTCTTGTGGGCTGCTGCTCTCTGGTTGTTTGGGGTGAATGGAAAGTGAATTTGAGAGTGGTTTTAAGGGGTTTAAGGCCGTTAAAATTGAGTCTTGAGAAATGGGTTTTGATGAGTTTTGAAGAGGGGATTTGGAGGAGATTTGGAGCTGGGGAAAATACACAAGCGGATGACATAGTGTTCATTATTCTCTTCTGGGCAGGGTTCAATTCTGAAGAAATGAAGCTTGGAAAAATGGGGAGTGCTAAAAGATTGAACAGAGGACAAGGGTTTATCGCTTTATCCAGATGAAGAAAGTTTTTCTTCTTTTTTTTTTTTGGCCATTTTATTTGACTAGTATAAAGAATTTGCTGATTTTTTTTCTTAAGAATTTGCTGATTTACATATTAAAAAAGTTAATTTTTTTGGTGTTTTTTTCCCCATTTGTCATACTGATACATGTCTAATTTAAGAATAAAAATTACTACAAGTCGATAAGTATTCTATTTGAGATTTTTTTTCTTTGGTTGGGGTGCAGTTTTTTTCTATAAAAAGATAAAATTTACCAAAAGATTTTTATAAAAGCTCATCGCACATGTTAAAGAAGAGAGACGAAAATTGCAATTATTAGTTTATTGTATTAAGGAAATATTTGCTTTTATTACAAAATATTCAATTGTTTTAAGAAGATGCATGGTGCAAAATATTCATTTGTTTTATGTCACATTAGTACTAATTAAGCAAGCATTTGCCTATATAGCAGATAACAGAAAACCAAAAAAATGTAAGGAATTATACGATAAATAATGGAGTGAACTTTTAGCACAATATATTTAACCAATGATTAATCAAGTTAAATTTTCAAAGTGACAGACTCAATCGAGCTAAACACCAATTCAAGCTTCGAAACTTAATTCCTTTCAAGTTCTACTAGAATTTTACCTGTACCTTAGAATGGTTTTTTTTTATTTATTGTTAATTTATACAAATATGAATAATTTTAATATAAAAATTAACAACAGTTCTACGTGTTCATTCATATTAATTTTAAAAAATTAATGTATTTTAAATGTTCAATTATTTACTAATTTTAAAAATTTGTTTACATACTTTCACTATAATATGATAGTATACATCAAATAATGTACCCCATATCCAAATTTTGGTAGATATTCTTTTTTATAAATATTCTTTTAGATAATTTAAATTTTTATAATGACCATAAATCTAGAATTATATATTCATAGTTAATTAAGTAGAAAAATATCCATTAATCCATTTTTTTCATCAATAAATATTCAATTTTCAATAGTATTGGTAAATCTATCGGTATAATAGTTAATTTTCTTTTTTACACTAAATTAATTCAAAATTAAAAAGAGATGACGAATAATTTGAATACTAATCAATGATATAGTAGTGAAAGGAAGTAATTTATAGAATATATAAAATTTCAATAATTGTGATTTAAAAAGGTTTTACTATACTTCTATGTAATAATTTGATAGAATTCAGATATCATTAAAATAAGATTGGTTATTTTTTAAAGATATTTTAAAATTAAAGATAATTTTAAACATATAATATAATCATTGTAATAATTTGATAGAAAACAGATATATCATTAAGATAAGATTAGTTCTTTTTAAAGTTACTCCTACTTTAAAATTAGAGATAATTTTTAAATACATAATATAATCCAAAAAGGATTCAGTATAGGTAAAATCCAAGTGACTCATAACTTGTTAATTCTCTTCAATTAAGCATGCTACATAGGAGTGAAAAACATTGTGATTAAAATAGTTAATTTCATATATGTATATATACTAGAAGGAACCAGGCTGTGCAAGCACAATCTAAGCCCGACTATAAAATTATGGCTAAAATTCATTACACTATAATTTGCTTTCAAATAAAAATAAATTATAATTTTCAAAAAATGAGCCTAAAAAAGTTTTATCTTTAGTGGAATGTTCCAACAGTTTGCTCCAACTTGCTTATTGTGATACAATAGAGATATATACTGTATTGTATGGACAAATAATAGCAAAGAATTCAAAAACCAAGCACATGCCTGAGAAATGCAAAACCGGTTCAATATTAACATAAATGATACATGCTTCATAAAACTCAAGTATAATGCTATTATAATTACAAATGCATAAAATTTCACCACTATTTCTTTTTCAAACAAGACGCTGTCATGTAAAACCTTCTATCTGACAAATTCACAATAAAACTTGCGAGAAAGTTGAATGGAAGGCTTTTCAATGCATAAAAAGGGTACAAAAATTCAGTACCAAAGAATAAGTAAAAGAAGTGCAAGATCAATTATGCATTAAAAAGGAACTAAAACATTAGAATTGCAAAAAATAAATTTTGCATTTAGATTTAAGACAAACCGCACAAGAGGAAAATCAATTTGCAGAACCAAAATAATGGAAGGCTTAATTACTATCAAGGAGATCGAGCCAAAATAAATAAATAAACCAAGGTAATAGAATAAAGAGGCAAAAAAAGAAAAATAATAAAGGCTAAATAAAATACAGTTAATAAAAAAATTTTAAGTCCATATTTGGCAGCATGAAACGAAGGAAGAATAGGAATAAAAAGAAAATGGAATATACCAAACAGTAGGAGTAGCGGAGGTAAAAGGTCTATTGTCTATGTTTCTCCTATGAAACATGATTTTTGAACAATGGAATAAAAGAAATATCCATTCCCATGCAAGAAAAACATACATTCAATTAATTATAGAGGAAAAAAGAAAAAATTCATTGATTGAGCGGAACGAGGAAAGGCAGAGAAAAATTAGGATGAAGGAAAAAAAGAAAAAAAAAAAGCAAAATACTGGATGAAAGAGTTAAAATTGATGGAATAGGAAGTAACAGTATAAATCAGTTGATTGTTGCGATACCTCTCAATGGTCAACAATAATAATCTAAAAAAATAGTAAGAAAATAATATTAGTAATTAAGTAGAAAGAGAAAGAAAAGAAGAACTTAGAGGAGAGATATATATAACTTTTGATTAACCAAAAAAAATAGTGAAGCAAAAATTCAACCACAAATAGAAACTGACACTTGTCAAAGTAAAAGACTATACACTTGGCAAAAAAAGAGGTTGCTATATATATATATATATGAGTGGAAAGAAGCAATATTACATCCCCATTCTTTTACATAATTAATTTATAAGATTACTATAGAAAATGTTAATTCACAAATAGTGAAATGAAAACCAACAAACATTTACACTTAATCTCGTAAATTAGTGACACTTGAACTGAAAATCTTTAATAACTCAACCTCTAAATCTTTAATTCCCCAATCTCTACCAAAATTTTTCGTTTATAGCAAAACAGTGGAATTGAGAACGTTACCAAACAGCCCAATTTGCATTGACATTGTTGTGATTTTTTTAATATTAGTAACTTTGAATACATCGTATATGTGTATAATTTGAAATTTAAATTTGAATTCATATACGTTATATGACCTAAATTTATTAGCGTAAAAAAATTTATACACTATAGTATATAAAAATGTTATTCAAAAACAAATATAAATGTGGTAGGATATCACAAACTGATACTGGAAAACTAGCAGCGAAATTGCCCAACTTGCTATAGCAACTCCACTTCTTCGCAACATTAAACAAACATCATACCATATCCATCAGTATTCACCGTTCCACTGCTTCAGAACCATTCACCATTCCACTTTCTTCTCTTCAGTATTCACCACTCCAACAACAAATCTGCAAAGCTGGAACTTGGCTCAGCTTTTTCAGTTTTCGCCACTCCACTCTCTCGTCTGCAGGTAAGTTGTACCAACTGCCAAGCATTCCCTTTAACCTGCAGTAAAAGATCCTATCCAGAAACAACACCGAAGGAAAAGACAAAAAAAAAAATTTATACCATAGCATGACAGTCGGGGGTAAGGGGCAGGCCGCTGCTAACAAACAAACAGCAAACCACGCCAGAGCACACTCTCACTGGGTAGTGACTCTAACGTCCTTTCCTTCCTACCCTTTTCGCCTTTCTTGTAAATAAAGTCACCAAAATGTTTGCAAGAAATCAGGAGAAATCTTTATATAATCCCAGATAAAAAAGCCTCACCTTTTCTTACTCTCTGTTTTCATATTTCTTACTCTCTGTTCTCAATAGAGACACCAAGTCTTATAGCATGCTTTGGTTACAGAAAAAATGCTGAAATGATCAGACAAAAACCGCAGTTTTGCTCACTCCCCCTTTCATAAATATCTGTCCTTCTAGCGCAGAACAGAGGAAGCGTTGCCATTTTTGATGGTTCATCTTCGTACTCTTTCCTTGACGGTAAATTCTTTTCTCTGCGTATGCATTAGCACAGAGCCACAATGTGATAGTAGTGCAGCGCCACGTACTGTATGATTTTCTATTTATGTTTCTTTGTTGTTCATTCTTAAGACCTAGGCTTGCATTTTTAGAAGAAAAATCTGATTCTTGTATAAGATTTCTCTTGTTCGTCCCATCTAAAGTCCTCTGCATGTTGAAGATTTTTGCGCTTTTTAAGATGTTTACATCATGGATTTTCTGGATTCTGCCAGAAAACTGTCAAAAACTTCCTAAAATAGTCAGAGCCCAGGAATTTTATAGGCGGACATGGTTTTTTCTACTGCATTTATGGCTTCTATTCTAGATACCATGTTCTGATGTTCATAACTTGCTTTGCTTGCCTGTATATTTAGGATACAAATGAACGTGGAACTCAGGATAGATACAGAAAATTGTTTAGGAAAATGGTAGTATAAAGCTAAAAATAGCATGACAAAGAATTAGGCTTTACCATGAGACACAAAAGAGTGAAGCAGATACGAAGAAGGCAAGAAAGAGTTATCAGAATCAATGGTGGAGAAACTATAAAAAAAAAAATGAAAAATTAGATCGTGGAAATAGATATATTTCAAGGGTCTAACCGATGTAGGAGAAGTTTATGATTTTGAATAAGTTAACGTTAAAAAGATTTGAGATAGAGAGACCGTGATAAGGGGAGAAATTCCAGGATTTGTGAACAGATTTGTTTTAAGAAGGCTAATAGAGTTCAAATTCAAAATGAATGACATAATAAACAGAAACGAAGCTAATCAAGGAAGTTTTGTACTGGTAAGATCTGGCAGAGATTATGAGGATGTTTACTACTGCTAATTAAGGGGTCATCTTAAATTTTCGAGAATTTGTGTACATGGACAGAGAAAGAGAGATCTCTGTACTGTGATTTTGTCTGGCAACTGGCAAGTAACTGAAACATGAGTGGGAGACATTAGTCTCTCATCAAGTTGG